GTAGTAGTAGTAGTAGTAGTAGTAGTAGTAGTAGTAGTAGTAGTAGTAGTAGTAGTAGTAGTAGTAGTAGTAGTAGTAGTAGTAGTGGAGTAGTAGTAGTAGTAGTAGTAGTAGTAGTAGTAGTAGTAGTAGTAGTAGTAGTAGTAGTAGTAGTAGTAGTAGTAGTAGTAGCAGTCGTGGTAGTAGATAGTAGTAGTAGCAGTTAGTAGTAGTAGTAGTAGTAGTAGTAGTAGTAGTAGTAGTAGTAGTAGTAGTAGTAGTTCGTATTAGCAGTAGTAGTGGTAGTAGTAGTGTAAGTAGTAGTGTAAGTAGTAGTAGTAGTAGTAGTAGTAGTAGTAGTAGTAGTAGTAGTAGTAGTAGTAGTAGTAGTAGTAGTAACACAGTAGTAGTAGTAGTAGTAGTAGTAGTAGTAGTAGTAGTAGTAGTAGTAGTAGTAGTAGTAGTAGTAGTAGTAGTAGTAGTAGTAGTAGTATAGTAGTATTAGTAGTAGTAAAGTAGTAGCAGTAGCAGTAGCAGTAGCAGTAGCAGTAGCAGTAGCAATAGCAGTAGTAGTAGTAGTAGTAGTAGTAGTAGTAGTAGTAGTAGTAGTATTAAATAATAATAATAATATTAATAATACTAATAATAATAACAATAATAATAATAAATAATAATAATAATTTTAATAATAATAATTTATAATAATAATAATAATAATAATAATAATAATAAAAATAATAATAATAATAATAATAATAATAATAATAATAATAATAATAAAATATAAATTAGTAACAGTTAGTAGTCAGTAGTAGTAGTAGTAGTAGTAGTAGTAGTAGTAGTAGTAGTAGTAGTAGTAGTAGTAGTAGTAGTAGTAGTAGTAGTAGTAGTAGTAGTAGTAGTAGTAGTCGTAAACCTTAAACCCTACTCGGTCCTGGTCTTGGCTTGGCCGTCCAGCTGCGCCGTTGTCAGGCGTCGAGGATGGTTCTCGCCCCGCTCCTAGTGCTTTGGGCTTTAGGCTGAAGGCCTTTAAGGATGGACTACGCATTGGCATATTGCCTCGGAACCTGGGGGCCTGGCTGCTCGTACCGAAGAGCCTTGAGGAGCCTTGGAGCCTGTCAACGAAGAGCTTGCATCGCAAACCAGGCAACATTCCCTGTTCATTCCGGCAGCCGTGGAGCCCTGGAGCCCGGAACCCTTGCATTTCAACCACAGTTAGGCTTGGCCCGGAGCCAGAGGCCAAGGAGGTTGGAGCCTTGGAGCTTGGGAGCCTTGCTTCACATTTCGACCACAGTCAGGCTTGGCCCGGAGCCAGAGGTCAAGGAGGGTCACCATCTTCAGGTAGGGAGCTTGGAGCCTTGCTTTACATTTCGACCACAGCTAGGCGGCTTGGGGCTCCGCAAACGCCAAGAAGGGTCCCCCTTTTCATTTCGGTAGCCTTGGAGCCTTGGAGCATTGCCTTACATTTCGACCACAGTTAGGCTTGGCCCGGAGCCAGAGGCCAAGGAGGGTCCCCCTTTTCATTTCTACATTTGGACCGGGAGCCAAAGGCAAGCAGGGTCCCACTTTCTGGAGCCTTGGAGCCTTTTGGCGCAAAGCCAGCTTGGAGCCTTGCGAGCCTTGGAGCCTTGCTTGGCCCCCTTTCATTTTGACCACAGTTAGGCTTGGCCCGGAGCCAGAGGCCAAGGAGGGTCCCCCTTTTCATTTCTTGGAGCCTTGGAGCCTGGGAGCCTTGCTTTACATTTGGACCGGTAGCCAAAGGCAAGCAGGGTCCCACTTTCTGGAGCCTTGGAGCTTTTTGGCGCAAAGCCAGCTTGGAGCCTTGCCTTGCGAGCCTTGGAGCCTTGCTTGGCACCCTTTCGTCATGTTGACCACAGTTAGGCTTGGCCCGGAGCCAGAGGCCAAGGAGGGTCCCCCTTTTCATTTCTAGCCTGGGAGCCTTGCTTTAGAGCCAAAGGCAAGCAGGGTCCCACTTTCTGGAGCCTTGGAGCCAAAGCCAGCTTGGAGCCTTGCCTTGCGAGCCTTGGAGCCTTGCTTGGCCCCCTTCATTTTGACCACAGTTAGGCTTGGCCCGGAGCCAGAGGCCAAGGAGGGTCCCCCTTTCATTTTGACCACAGTTAGGCTTGGCCCGGAGCCAGAGGCCAAGGAGGGTCCCCCTTTCATTTTGACCACAGTTAGGCTTGGCACGGGGCCAGAGGCCAAGGAGGGTCCCCCTTTCATTTTGACCACAGTTAGGCTTGGCCCGGAGCCAGAGGCCACGGAGGGTCCCCCGTTGAAGAAAAAACATTTCGACCACAGTTAGGCTTGGCCGGGAGCCAGAGGCAGGGTCCCCCTTTTCATTTCACAGCCTTGGAGCCTTGGAGCCTGCATCTTGACTCTCTTTCGCTGAAAGAGGGTCTCATTCTAGTCAGGTTCTTCACTCAGCATGCCTGGTCGTACCGAGCTGTCTGCAGCGAGGCAGATTCAAGGCCAGAAGCAGTAGAACACAAACGTACATGAGGGCAGGGTGCTTTGAAACTAAACCTTGTGGCCTTGACGACGATGGGTCGATGTCGATGCGGTCCCTCGCAGCATCGAATCATCCTGGCGACAGCCAAGATCCGCTGTCAAATTAATTAAACTTGACTGTCCAACGCAGCACGGGTCCTGACAGCTTCCTTGGCGCTGCGGCCGTGGACCACGCTTGCCCATCTCCCTGCCTGCAAAGAACGACATGTGAACCAGGTTACATGTGGAATTTGGGTGCGTTCACATGACTCACGACACTGGCCTCTGCTTTTTCGGACAACCCCCGCGCTGAGAATTAAAATAATTGAATTAGGGATCCCAGCCAGTCTTGCGCCAGACCTTGGAGCCTGGGAACCTGGTAGCCGCGACACGCCCTGCAAACAGCTTGTCACGACGCACTTCACCACTTCGGCAAGATGCAACGCACGGCACTGTGCGGAATCGGTTACAACGAGGAAACTCACTGCATCTCACATTGCATGCAATCTTGCCCCCATGCTCGGATATGCTGCTAACTGAACACACGAAGGCTATGAAAGTCACACCCTACTAACTAACCCTGAAACCCTTTAACCGACTCTAAACACACGTTAAACCATACGAGCCATCATCAAATAAAAATGGAGGCTCAGTCGAGTCATTTCTGATTCAGACAGAGCTCCGGCCACCGCCGCTTTCCGGGGTCTGGAGCACAGCCGACCAACACAAACAGCCCCCATTTACCGGCTCGAAGCACCTTTGTGCAGCACGTGTGACTTGCAGCGGGGCAATTGGCTAAGTCGCTGCGTGTTTTCCACAGCTCGGGCCACTGCTTGCACCACGCTCTCAGTCCGGCCTCCCCCTTGGGCATGAAGGGATTCCCGGTCTCCACCTCAAACACCACGCAAGCATAGGCCCACATATCCACAGCTGCAGTCAGCAGCTGCTTTCTGACACCGCAGTCTCCATCGCCATTCACACGAGCGGGCCACAGCTCCGGAGGTCGATAGGCAGCCGTGACATACTGCAGGAACCTGGGAGCCTGAGAAGCCTTCTGGAGCCGTGCCATGTTCTCACTCATGCCGAAGTCGCACACCTGCACCTGATCTGTGCAAGGGCACCAAAGAACATTGCCAGGTTTCACATCCAAGTGTAGGATGCCTGCGTCATGCAAGGTCTGCAGTGCACTTCTCAGCTGAGCTGCCACAGACCACGTCCTCGGCTTGCCATGCGCCGCAGGATTTCGAAGTGCGGTTGCCAGGCTGGGCCCACATAGGCTAGTAGCCATCCATGGCCAAGGTCTGCCCGTGACACCCGAGCTGACAAGAAGCGGGAACCACATCATCTTCTGCTGCGGAACGGCCTTCATTAGAAGCTTCATCTGCTCCACTTCGTGCCTGCAATCCGCGGGGCCATCGGAGCCACGATAAACCTTCACCGCCACGTTAAGGCCGCTTTGCGGATGCTGGCAACTGTAGACACTGCCATAGGCTCCGCCTCCAATTGGAGCCCTTGCACCATTAAGCTCAAATGGGCCAACGCGACCGCCAGATTCGTCAGCGGCAGGGGGGTCCTTCGCCTCGTCGGGGCCGCCCGCACTGGTCGTGGAGCCCCGCATCCTGATGCCAAGAACGGCCAGTGCACTTCGCTGAGCCATGAACTCATCTTTGCTCCTCGCCATGAATGGTGCCTTCTGCTTGTCGGTCATGCCCTGCCAGACTGCGCCAAGATGCTTCATCTCATTGAGAAACTCGTGCTTGGGAGCGCCTTTCTTGACTTCGGAGTTTTCCTGGAACCAGATGACGAAGGCCCTTCGAGCCTTGGGGACCAAGCCGTCTTTCACAGCCTGCTTCCGCAAGCTCTGCGATTTGCTGCCACCATGCTGGCACCCCCGGGGCATCCGACGAGAAGCCGTCTTGAGACTGGTTTTGCCCCAGAGGCGTCTGGTAGGCCTCCATCGGCAGCCCATGTCGAACCCAAGCAGGGAACCTCAGAGCCTGGGAACCTGGGGCCATAACGGCTCGCTTTAATGCATTCAGGCGACTACAACAACATCCTCGGCGAGTCCTATTTCAATGTCATGCCACAATAAGAGCATTTCGGCTTTTTCAGGCGACAGTAGTCACTGCTACACACTACTGACAAAACTGAGCCCGGCAAAAGGTCAAGAGCCTGAGAACCTGGGAGCCTAGGTGCCTGAGCTGGTGCCTGAGCTGGCGGATTCGGTCGAAGTGAAACATCATCACTGCGGTTGATCGCGGGGGCTATCTGGCTCAGCAGGTGCCTCGTCCTGGTCGTCTTGGTTGGACAAGCTCTCCAGAACGTGCGGGAAATGCTTCTTCACCGCCTTGGCATTCTCGTCCGAGTAAAGAGTGGATCCCTCCAAAGCCATCATTCCGCAAGCTGCGCGATCAGCAACCGCCTGGACCCACGACATGTGCTCCTTGTTGAGGCCTCGGATAATTTAAATAAAATCAAATGACAATGATCTGACGAATCTACTGGACAAGTAAGGGTGCTGCAAAGCCCGTGGTATGCGATGCCGGCAGTCAAAGAAGCCTCCATCAGAGCACCGGTGCCAGCCGTGAGGTCAAACACTGCCTCCGCGCAAAACTCCTCAATGATGGCATTCCAATATGCTATCGGCTTCGACTCGTTCCAGAACAAGGGTACGTCGGAGCCGTGGCGATCCTGCCAGTCCTCTGGCGGTGTCGGGAGGTCGCCGGTTGTTGCCGGAGCAATGATCTTCTTCTTGGTGTCTGCAGACACGAGGGGCATTTCAGAAACCGCACGGTACTCCACGCCTGAGTAAGTGCCTTGGTACGTAGAAGCCTCGCCGCAGACTGTGAAGGAGCCTTTCTTCGTCGTCTGAATCTTGGTGCGTGCGACCGGGAACTTAACCGCTCCTGTCTCCACCTTCTTTGCAGCCAGCGGAACGCGGCGAGTGCGACCAGTTCTCGGCGGGCACCCACCTGAGTACACGATGGTGCACTCCTCGGTGTGCTGCTGGTTCAGCAGGAGGTCTTCCTTAAAGAACCAGGTGCAGCCTTTGAGCCTTGGAGCCTGGGAGCCTTGTCACATCACCCCGCCAAGACTCGGACACGCGGCGAATTTCCCGCATTCTGCCGTCGAAGAGTACAACGAAATCCTCGGGCCCAGAAATGTCTTTGGCAAAGGCACAGATCTCTTTCCATTCCTCGCTTGGCGGAGTGCCCTTGAGCCACGGGCCGGTACCAGCCTCTGCCAAGAGATCCGCACTGGCAACGATCAGGCGGTGCGAAGAGTTTAAGGTGCCCTTGTGCGTGAAGACCTTGCCGCAACCTCTGAACGCATTGACTAGGCAGTCCTTCGAGATCTTGTTCGGTACCGAGAACGACACGAACTTGCGGCGTTCCGTTTGCACCGCCTTCCACTGCCGCTCACGCTCGACACATTCCTCGGGTGTGTCAGCTTCAGAAGCCTTGGCCAGGCTTTGGAGCAAACTCGGAGCAGGAGCCGCAGATGTGGCACCAACGGACTTCGTGCTGTTGTCGAACTTGTCGACAATGATCTTCATCTGAGTGATAAGCGCACATGGCTCCTCGTGCTCCGTGTCATCCGAGCTTCCAAGCTGTGCAGCTGTCAATGCCTTTGCAAGGCCATCTTCACTCGAAGCCAGCATGCAGCAATCCTTGTAGTACTTCCCCGACATCAGCTCCAGCAGCAAATCCAAAAGCATGCCAATGGCTTTGTTGAAACCCTCTTTAACAGCTCCAATCTTGGACTGCGGAACAGGGCGCTCCACGTCCTCTGGGTCCTCGCCGTCCATGTCGTCCTCTCCAGCAGCCCCTTGATCAGCATCAGCATGGCAGAGATATTTCTCCCAACATGTGGAAGGGCAACGGAGTTCAGCCAAAATCCCTGTCAGCTTAACCTTGTCCGGCTCAGGCAACTTGTTCGCCAGCTTTGCTGCATAATCGAAGACCTCTGTCAGTGTTCAAGCTGCCGATGACTTGCAACACTCCGCAAAAAAAAAAATACACACGCTAGTCAGAATAGTTACAATGCCTGCACCACCAGCATGCGCGACAACCAAAAGCCAGCATCGCCTGTCTTCCGGTCTCGATCCAGAAACTTCTCGGTGCATTTAGCTGGCGTGACCATGTTCATGCGCAGGGCCAGCGTCAAGGAGTCGATCATCCAGGCCGTCAGGTCTACAGCGTTTCTGGTAGCAGATGCGAGCTTGTTGGTCAGCGATAACAGCTTGCTCAACTTCGAGTACTGACTGCTCAAGATGCCCCGCCCAAATTCCAGCTCCAATCTCCGGGCAGCCTTCTCCACGGGACCGGATGGACCCCGCAGCACTGCAACAGCTGCTGTGGCAGCCTGGTGTAAGGCCTTGTTGTACAAGGTGTTGTTGTACCTCAAGTTCTGTTCCTCACCATCCTGGACTTTTTCGACCTTGAGCAGCTGGACAGTCTTTGCAAATGTCCAAAAGGTGTCGGACAGGCCAGGGTGCCCGAGTGCCTTGACTTTCTCTGAAGCAAGATTGCGACTCTTCGCAATCTCCCCTGCGCTGGAACACAAGCGAACCTGTATCGTGACAGTGCAGCCACACTCCCACAAAATCTCCAAAACTGCTTTGTCCTGCCAAGTGCAAGCACACATCAGTCAGATGAATCAATAACATGTCATGTCATGTGAACACAAGCAGCAACTGTCCTGGGAGACTAGGGCTTTGAAGACGGCCAAGTACCAAGCCCACAACACAAACACGCCGCTAGCAAGATGCAACGAGCTGTTGAACTCTTCGTGAATCACGTCAGATGCTGACTCCGTGAGGACAATCATCTCACAAGGCCACGTCAGCCGGTTTCGTGACGTTTTTTGTTTCTTCTTGGCAGCTTCACGCGATACAACTGTGCTGAAAGCAACTTTCTTGGAGAAGAAAGCGTCTTCGAAAGTTTGGAGATCCTGCCAGCACACATCCTCAGACGCACTGGCAAAAGCTTCGGTGGCCAGCCACAGCGCGAGGCCACTGGCTTCGTAAAGTCCAGATGATGTCAGGGACGCTTGGCAGTCATCTTTGCTCCACACAGCCTGACAAACGACAACGGTCAAACAATAAATGACATTGATCGACATGCGCCCGCCTTGTATCCGGTCAAATCCCCCATCTTGGCTTCTGCGTTGATGGCAAGCGGCGGTGTCTTGAACATCTGCTTGGCCTGCGGAAACTTCAGAGGGAGCTGGCTGCGGACCTCGGGCAGGCACGGCATGCAGCACTGTTAGCCGCGAGACGGGACACGGTATCAAGAACTCAGCGAAGGGCCCATGGCACGATGTTTGCCAGGGCTTCTTGAGCACTGGCCTGCTTCACATGGCGTGCCACACATCATCATCATCACACACGTCATACTGCTCCGAAAATGCTGAGCTCAGAACGGTTGGGTCGGTGGGCAAATCCGGCACTTTTGCCATTGAGCGCGAGTACAGAAGCCTGGGAACCTGGGAGCCGAGTAGCCTTCCACGGAACCGTTTGGAGTCTTGCGGTGCAGCGCAAGGCAATAAGACTGCTGCAGTGCAGGACATGCTGCAAACAAACACAAACTGACGTCGACAGCGGTCCTTTGTAGTCGTGGGCCCTGCCACAGTTTGTCGACGAGCGGCTTGAGCTTTACATGTCCATTTAAATCAAGTTGGCAGCAAAGTAAGGAAGCATCAAAATCCTACTATGCTGCTGATGAGTCATCTAAACATGACGACACCAAGCCGGCGCCACATGGACCTTGGAGCCTGGGAGCCTAGGAGCCTGGGAGACGCCTCAGCTGGGCATCAACGGCAGCGAGGGCATCCTGGTCGCGGCGGAGCTGCTTGTTGGAGACGTCCACCTGTTCCTTCAAGCGCCGTTTGTGCTCCACCAGCTTGGAGCGCTGAGCCTCAAGGAGAATGTCTGAGTGCTTCCTGGGGTTGCTCATGCTCACGATGACCATCTCGATCCCGGACCTGCGTACCTTCAAGTTGCCGGTGCGGATCCGCTCTGCCAGGTCATTGCCCTTGAGCATCCAGAAGTACCCCATCGGATGGAGAACCGGCGGTGACTGGTTGATGACGCCCTCGCAGCTGAACTCGAGCATGTCCATGTCGAGCTGCTTGAGGGCAAAAAAACCCAACGTGGCCGCTGCGTGCGTGGACGAAGAAACCGGGAACAGGGATGCACCGGGATCCGGAAGGAACGGATCCCCCTGCGCAGCGAACACGTGGTTCCGGGCCAAGAAGTTCACGAGGGCAGATGTGTCCTCCTTGCTAATGTCGAAGCCGCCGCCGCCGCCGCCTTCCTCCGACTTGACCGCCGTGTAGCACATGAAGCCCAAACCCCCGCCAAGGTCGGGCCCGGGTGCAAGGGTCTGCCAGGCGCGGCTGGTCGTGGCCTGCACCATGACGTGCCTTGATCGGACGCAATACCCTGGACCCCTAAACCCCTAAACCCCTGAACCCTTGAACCCCTGAACCTCTGAACCCCTGAGCCTATAATTAATATAAAATTAAATAACAATAAATGAAAAGACTTCCTGGCGTCCGATGTACTCGAATTCAAGGCTCCAGTTCGCCTCGTCGTGGAAAGGCAGCTCCTGGCAAGGATCCGAGAACAGCGGAACATAGTAGCCGCCATCCTCCACCACAATGTCTCTTGCAGAGCACGCTTCGGCCAGATTTTTCTTGGTGAACAGTGTGAGAACCACGAACTGGGTCTCCCCAATGGCTTCTGTCAGCTGGCGGCGCGATGAGCGCAGCTTCGCCTTCACAGGCTTGTCTGCAGCAGACGGGGCCGCCCCCAACTTGCGCATGGCTTCCTTGCGCTGCCATGTGATGGCGTCCAGTTTCGTCGCCAGAAACAAGGCACGGAAGCCGATCTCCGGTGACTCGTAATAGGAATCCTTCTCAAACTCGGAAGCCGCCTCCACACTCTTCTCGTAGTCACTTGCCCTCAGCGCACAGTAGCCGAGACGCGACCAAGATCTCTGAGACTGAGTCTCTATCACTGGGTTCTCCTCCGGCTCGGCGATGATGGTGGGTGCCATATCTGCGGCGGCTGCTTTAGGATCGGCTGCGGCCATTTTCGCAGGCGGCATTGGGACCTAGTAGCCTATGTGAGCCAGGGAGCCTTGGAGCCTGTTGCCGCAGAAGCCTCGTATCAGATGCTGATAGTGACATGGCAAGACTGACACAACACACTGTCGCATGCAACTGTCATGTTCTGACAACTCAGCCACACAGCCAACCATGACTGAAATGAAACGACTTTGGGCCTGCCCCTCGACGTCCAGCTTGTCGACGACAACAGCCTCAGACAATGCAGTGACAAGTGACATGTGCATTGAAGGGTCATTTGCGTGCGTTGAAGGGTCATTCGTGTGCATTGAAGGGTGACAGGTGCTTCTTTCATCATTAAGGCACTGCTAACGTGACCCTTGGATGCACTCAAAACACCCTTGGATGCATGGAACAAGAGCTGCCGGGACCCTTGGATGCATCCAAAACACCCTTGGATGTAGCGCCGCGGCGATTGGCGCGAATCCTGCCTGTATTGAAATGAAAGAGGAAGGCTATTGCAAGGGACAAATGGAACGTCAATACACCAGGGATTGGCACCAATCCATGGTGTATTGCATCCTACCATTGTCCTGCAATTAAACAACTGCAGGGGAAGTGAATTGCAAGGCCGTTTTGTCCTGCCAATACGCCCCGGATTGGCACCAATCTGCAGTGTATTGAGCAGGGGCTTGCAACAGGCTCTGTTGCAGGCACCTGCTGCCCCAGACAAGGTTAACCCTGCCTTGCGACACAGGCCCCCTGTACATTCCTGTGCGAACGACTAGACTTAAAATGATTCGACCCCAGGAAAATTCCTGCCTGCGAACCTGGGAGCCAAGGAGCCAAGGAGCCAAAGAGCACTGTCATTAACTGCTGCAGTACAGGACTATGACGCACGAACTTTCTTGGGTTTCTTGGGGGGCAAATGCCTCATCTGTACACCAGCACCGGACAATGTCCGCTTCTGGGACAACCCGCGGACGGTGCGGAGGAAATTCCAGATATCGGCCTCTCCATTGATCTTGTAGGTGGTGCGCCTCTTGGTAGCAAATTGAGTGGGCAGTGGTGTGCCGATAGCAACACGCCACTTCGACTGGGGCAACTTCTCACAGAATCGCAGGGCCTCGACGATGGCACGGGTCCTGACTGATTGAACTTAAATGAACCCAAACCCAACCCTAGACAATAAACCCTTCAACCCGAAACCCTTGAACCTCAGTGTCTGTGCCACCGAGCAACAGTTGACAGCTCTTGGCGATCTCAAGGCCGACCAGCCTCGAAGTTGCAGCTGTGTTGAAGGACAAGAACGACTTCTCAGCATCAATTGTCGGATTGTCCAAGTATGCCAGAATCGCCTCCCTGGAGGCAAGCACTTTGCCACAGCCGTACGCAATGATCAAGGCAGGAACCTGGGATGAAACACGTCAACGTGTACCAGCAGTGACGATCTAAGCCTGGCATCATCCGACTTTTAAACATTTTAATTAAAAGCTTGGGACCAGTCGGTCGCTGCGGACCGTCTCCACATCGGACAGTTGTTCGAGGACCAGGATATCGGCGGATTCATACTCGTACGGTCCAAGAATCTGGAAATGCTTGTTGCCTTGCAGCGACTTGCTGTCCGTGTAGCGACGATAGACCGGACATAGCTTCAGAGCTCGTTTGCGGAGGATGCTTTGCAAGACGGATGACCGATCCTTCTCGTGGCCGTGCTGCACCATGCGCAAACCGCCAAGCCGTGCCGCCGTTGTTGTGTAAGCAATCTTGCCAGAGGATCGTCTCCGCGCTTCCTCTTGGTGACCTTGGCTGGATGACAATGACAATGTGTATGACACTTCAAATGACTTAGCACGGAAACCCAAAGGCTCCAGAGTGTGTGCAGAGACAGCACATGAAATCCAGGTATAGGAAGTTTATACAACCGGAGACAGGAGTGAGCGTAGGGACCAAGTGGTCCCGGGGACACAAAGTGTGGATATAGACAAACTTTGTTGGCTATTTTATGCACTCCAGAACACGTTTGAAGCGCTGCCAAAAGCGCTTGTTCAACAAACAAACTGTGTGTTGAAACACACATTTCGACACACCAACAACACGGCACGAAAAAAAACTAATATTGCCTACATAGCACGTTTCGGATAGAGGTATTTTGGGCATATATGCGGTTAAAGTTGGTCCGAAATGCATGCACCGCTTGCACATGTCAGCAGTCGATTTTTTTCTTCAGGGCATACGATTTGCACCGGTCCGTTGCTATGCAACGGCAAATTTGGAAGCTCCGGATCATGCATCGCACATATTACATACAGGGTGTTTTGGTACATCCGGCCCAGAGCTTATGAGGACCCCTCTCTTATAGGTCTAGTTTCAACCCTAATCCAGGAGCTCTTCGAAGCTAGGCCAGCTAGGCATCCTCATGCTCATCGCCCCCATCGGCAATCATCCTTGGCTATTAGACGGCACGAATAAAGGAAAACCGAAGCCCGAAACCCTAGAACCTTCCAACTATAAAATCCTAGGTCCTAGACCCTATAGCCCGACACTGTATAAGTCCGAAAACCACCAAACCGTAAGGGAAACCCCATTTGCGGCGTCCTAATTAGCTTTCTAAACCCGGCCGAGAATATCCCCTAACCCCAAATTTAAAGCCCTAAACCTGCTAATAATATAAAATTACAATAAACCCTAGAAGCCTTGGAGCCTTAACACCCTGGAGCTCTAAACCCCGAGAAATTGGGATGGGCTGTACGGGTGTGGCTTGGGGCTCGTTTTTTTTAAGGGTGCTATTAGCAGGCATAGATAATGTTCCGAAATTCTCAGCCTCCGAGGGTTTATTTAAGGCTTTATGCTATAGCTTATATCGATCTAGTGCAAGCCAGCCGCCACATGTAAAAGCGCCTCAAAGTGGATCTTTCCAGCGAGCGGGCATGTGCACGTCCTGCTATGCCTCAGCTGTGCTGCTGCTCACTGTACTATTCGATTGCACTAGTGCACGATCTAGATTCTATATTTAGCGAAGACACGGACCAACCGGCCATTTGCATCCTCCGATGCAAATGTATGATACATGCGATAGTTCATTCCTCGGATCGTTCGAAGACTTCAGCAAGCTATTATAATTACCCGAATTACCCATGGGCCCCCGAACATGTCCCTTGTGCTTCACGGCTGCTTTCTGTGCTGGCGAAGTACACGAGTTCTTGAACTGCCTCGGAGCTGCACAATCGGTCCTGTTTGATTGATTATGGTTTGCAGTCCAGGGTGCATGAAGCTTGGGTCGCACGGGGAACATCGAGAGAGAATTTTGAGCACACTTGTAAGCGAGGAGGCCGTAGGCGGTGAGGCCGGCATTGTGACAATATCCCATGCGATCGATTTGCTCGTCATCCAAATATCGCGGTGAGGATTCAACGATATTCATGAGCTCGCTAAGGAAGTGCCTCGATCGAGTGACATCGACATGCGGTTTTCATGCCCCCGACAATTAACACATGCAGTCCAGCTGCATGCATTGTCCGAGCAGCATAAGAACCTCATCATTGCAGTAGGGCTCTTCATGCAGCAAGTCCACCACAAAGTCAGCCAACCAGCTCGTCACAACACGGGCCTGAACCGGTGACCCTAGAACCCCAACTCCGGATCCCCTCCCCTCGCAAAACCGTACCCCGTATCCTTTAAAACCCCAACCGGCCCTAAACCCTAGCCTATAACCCTAGGCATTAAACGTTAGATCATAAATATACCATCCCAGGCGCATTGTACGCCTTTGCTGCCAGCTCCACTTCGGAACCATTCTTCGACCGCAGATGCTTGGCCTGGAAGACCGGCTGAGAATGCCTGGGCTGCCAGCAGGGAGAATTATTACCAGGAGTTTGATTATGTTCTTTCCGGGGTGCGGAATTTTGTTTTCATGGGTCCAGGCACAGAATGCAGCATAGGCTGCTTTCAGCCGTGCATTCTTGGAGTCTGCAGGCCAAAGACCCTGCAGGGCACAGCTTTTGGAAACCGAGCCCCTATCATAACCGCTAAACACCGGTACTTCCCAGAGACTCCAATACCCCTTAATTAAGGAATATACCTTAAATTATAGTAGGATCCTTAATATGATTTAAGGAATATTCCTTAATTAAGGGGTATTGGAGTCTCTAGGTTTAGCCCCAAACCCTAAACCCTCAAACCCTAAACGACTCCAAACTAGTTGGCCCAAAGCTATATATATATATATATGTATATACATATACACATATTTCTAGCAAACCCCAAGCCCATAATCCTATATCGCCTGCTGCAATAGCAGCTCCAAGCAAGCCCCACAAGACCAGACCAATGGCCCCAGGTTGAGGGAATGTAAGCTGCACCATCGCATCATGCAAACGTGAAATCCTATCATCCTCAACATGTGGCCTCGGGTGGTATAAATGGGTTTAGGGGCTTAGGGTATCACGTTTGCGGAGTTTAGGGAGGGATTGAAAGGTTTAGGGCTTTGGGGCTGCAGGGTTGGAGGATTCACGGTAAGACGTTAGGGTTTGTGGGGTCCGGGTGTTAGGATTCACGGTTTGGGGTTTGGACAAAGCTTATTATTGTACAACCCGATGCAAAGTACAAAAGCTTGCATAGCCAGCAGATAAAAGCTTTGTGTACATCATTCATCCAACCAACTCCGGGGATCGATGCATTCCAGTGCGAAGTTTTGCATGCTTCGCCTGGGCCCTGACTGCAAAGTTGAGGGGCTTTCGAAGAAATTGTCCTTGTCTGCCATGCAATGGTGACAGACATACTTGCTGCTCCACCCCGTGGATAGCCCCATCATCTCCTGCACTTCGAACAGTCTAGGCGCTAGAGATTCCTAGGACAACATTAATTACAGGATGTAGACATGACACTATCTATCCTTGTGGAACTTCCAGTCCGCCCGCAATTCTGTCATCGCAAATCGAACTGGCTGCCCGTTCTTCAGCACTAGCGGTCGATCATGATCGGTACTCGGCACACAATCCGGCCACTCACAATCCCCATTCTTTTTGAGGATTGGCTTCTCCGGGTGGAAGCCGCTCAAGCATGCATTCAGCGAAGCCACTACCTCATAGGGTTTACATTCGGGGGTCAGCATTTAGGGAGGTTTCGATTGGCTTTCATATTCACACCAAGCCACAGGGCGAAGGTAGGCTTGGATCGTGTCGAAGCCACAGCTCAGGGCCTGCAACCGGTCTCATTTGGTTTATGGTTTCGGTATCAGGATAAAGTTGTAGGTGATAATGCTAGCACAGGTACACGGGCCGGGTTCGAGCTTAAGGCTTGCAGGCAGGTAAATTTGGTTGCGAGTTTGGAGTTTTAGGCTATATGTACGGCTTAAACTTAAAAGGTATAGGGGAACGATTGCAGTGGCTGGGGCCTCCCGTATCACAAAGAGTGGAAAATGACTCCTCATCGAGAATGTAGCTTCCGACAACACGTGTCCCATATAAAAAGCAGTCAGCTTCTCCCGCACACTGTGCCGGATGTCATCTCCATACAGCCATAAGGGGACACAGGGGCCCAGCGACTCATCTGCCCCCGGGTGTTGTCCCGCCCAAGCCACGTATCGCTTGCAATGCTGCCAATAGGTACGGACGGCATCGAGATTGACCTCCCCCTCAGGAATCTTCTCATCTCGTAGATAGCATAGCAGCTCGTGGGGGAGGATGACCGGTAGCTTCCTAGGCTAGCTCGAACTACATATATATGTACACTAAATGCAAACCACCACATGGCCAACGTATATTTAATTGCCAGCACAGAGAACCTGAAGACCACGGTGTCGTCCGTGATCGATGTTCGCATCGGCACTCGCACCCAGGATATTGGCACCTGTTCGGATCAACAACTCCAGAGCGAGACATGTAGTCTATAGAACCCGATTAAGAAACCCTTGGCCTATAACCCCAATAAGGAACCCATAATAAAGGCCCAAGGTTTAAAAATCAGGTATTGAAAACCCGATGGCTACACGTGCTATCCTCTAGTGCAACCATGTTTCGCAGCCCAAATTGTTGGTAACCGTCCGCAGAAGATCTCTCTCAATATTTTGTTTGTGTTTACCATCGCACCCAGCTCGTCTGAGCCGTTCAGCCAGCCGGCCCAATGTGCCACCCGTAGAGGCTACTTCCTGTAGCTGTGCATATGTACATGCAAATCGGATTAATCACATGCATGAACCAAACCCTGATCGGCTCTCCTTGTGGCCCTCTCGGAGCATCTCCACCGCGCCCGTCAAGCTGAGGTCCTCGATGCTATCGACATATATTTTGGGAGTGGAGGAGCGGTTACTTGCAATCGGGTTTGGGATTCCGGTCTGGCTTCTGTAAGAATTTTCAACTGACGTGGTATGCATATAGTGGATGGTTAAGTTTGGGTTTGGAGTCGGTACGACAACCCATTCAGTATCGGGCCTTACTCTACGGTTTATTTCGGCTTGGAGTTCTAGAGGGCCACTTTGCTGTTATAGGAACCTGATTAAGAAACCAACTTATCATGAGTTATATTAGGGGTCCTTATATGAATTTTGGGGTTATAGCCCAGGGTTTCTTAATCAGGTTCCTATAACAGCAAAGTGTGGGTTTGGCTTTGGAATTGCAGACCAGGTGTCACCACGGCCAGCACATTTCAGGACGTGTCTGCATAAAGGGCCAACATCTGGTCCACCTGCGAGGGCTAACGGGCTATAGAGAGAGGCTACTGTATATCCGTTGCAGTCACTTGAGGTGATGCATGCAATGCTGAAGGTGTTGTGCTTGCAGCGATCGGACGTCGATCTGGAGAGATCTGTACACAAGCGAAAATCATGATCTTGAATCTGCCATCGGCTACAGCGTTTGCAATTGTACATGTATTGTGACCCAGGACTAGCGAGGCCCTAGCTAGGATGCTTATAAGCTCTAGGCTCCTAGGGTGTAGGTCTTCGCCGACGAACAGATCTAGATCTGCAAAAGTCAAGCTTCCAGACATGAAGCCTGCACAGACCAGTACCTTGGCCCTTCCTTTCGATCAGAAGTCCAGCAGGACTCGTGACGACGGCATCACTTTGCCTTGGCTTTGCCCTTCGCCTTTGCCTTGCTCTTGCCCTTGGGGTCCGCCTTTGGCTTGGGATCGGCCTCGGATGCATTCTGTTGGGCTTGAGGACTTAGGGTGGGTTTAATGTGGTATACTGGGGTTGTGGATGATACTAAGCACTAGTATAGGCTTGCAATATGTCGGGGGGCCTTTGGGTCGAGGGCTTGCACGTACTCCAGCTCAGATTCCTTATCTAGAGATTACAATCCAACTATGAAAGCCACGGTACCACTTTCTTCTTGATCATCGAAGCGGAATCCGAGTAGGCCTTGATCTTCTCGGTAAGCTCGTCGAAAGCCTGCTGCACCTCCTCGGCGGAGCCTTTCTCGAAGTCGTCAGCCTAGCAGCTGGATAATTAATGTGTTGGGAAAGGCTTGCATTTTTTTGGATTAGCCAGTTTAGGGTTTAGGCTTTATAAGGTGAATAGGGTTTTGTGATTTAGGTTTAAGGACTGGGGTACTACGGCGACTTCACTGTCTACACCTGTAGCCGGCTGGGACCTAGCAAGGTGAGGGCTTGGTTATATATTCTTTATTTGAGTTTGGGTTTTAGCCATTTTAGCTAGGCTACTTTGCAGCATTATGCACCAATCTGACTTCGCGAAGAACCATTTCAATGTGTGTGCCTCCAGCTTAGCGACGTGCTCCGAAAGGGTCTGCTTGTGCATCGACAGCTCATTCGAGTAGCCCGTGCGAAGCGGCTGGGACCTGGGATTCGGGTCTTTGGGGTGTAGCCCGGCAAAGCAGGATGGAGCAGTTTGAAGTAGCACGGTTTAAGCTGCAAGCTTTTGTTTGTAGGGTAGAGGGTTTAGGGTTAGGGTGGCGCTTTTAGGGTATAGAATAGCGATAGATTGGGTTATTGGACTTAGGCTTCAAGCTTTATGTTTTAAAGGTATAGGGTTTGTTGTTGGCTACCGGGTACAAATATATAAGCTAGTATAGGATAATGGCCATGGGTGAATAAATACAAGAACGAAGTAGCAGGTGCCCACACTCCACCACCTTCTGGATCAACTCATCTGCTTCGGTGAGCTTGTCGCTCACCTGCTTCGCCTTGGTCCTCACCTGCCCGGCTGTGCCGCCTTTGCCCTGCTTTCGCATCTTCTTCAGCTGCTCCGCCTCCTTCTCCATGGACTCCTTCGAGCCCAAGGATCGGAGGCCTTGGGGTTGCGGTAGAGCCGCCACTGGACCAGCAGCAGGCGCCAAACCACTCGAGCTCGCGGATCCAGCACTGTAGCCGAGGGCTGCTGGCCTTTGATTGGCAAGTGCATGCAACTTCGAAGTTCTCTTTTATAGACCACAGCATATAGATTATTAGCAAAGTCGCAGCAACACGGCCGTCTGCTGGCCATCCAGCTCCATGGGCCCCGTGGAGAGCTGGGCCTCCTGTGTCCTCTTGTCCTTCGCGACAACCTTCGCGGTGTCAAACACCCGGATCATCTCCCAGTCCTAATGAAGGGTCAAATAAAGCTCGTTATCAACATCCGGCGGCAGCGATTGGATTGAAAATCATGACCCCGGCCCTGTCCTCAGATCCGGGAAGGTCCGGATGAGCAAACACGTAAGGCAGCGGGGGCTCCTCGTGAGGCATGGCGGCGATCCGCTTGTCGAGTTCGTCTTGCAACAGTCTCTTCTCATCGCGGATCATCTTCGCCGTCACAGCGCCGTGCTTCTTCTTCAGGTCCATGTACTTGACAAACACCTCCTCAGCCTGCATCTCCTTGGACTTCGACGTGGTGGTCGAAACCACCAAGGTCGACTCGAGCCAGGACCCCCCAGCACGCAGGTAGTCGATGAACAAGTCCTCGAGCTTCATCTGACCTTGACTCGAATAATCACCCATGGCCCGATTCGAAATCTTGTGTAAAAATGAATCCTGAAGTCCTCAAGACCCAGTGCAAGCCGAGGCACCGCTCTTGGTCTTCGCGACCGCATCGACCACCTTGTCCGGGCAGCTCTTGCCTCAAGCTTGCAATCAAAGATAAGCTTAAGTGGGTTTAGCGATAGTTGCACAGCGGTCTTGCATTAATGTGCATATTCCAAGTTACTTTTTGTCGATCTTTGCATCTTCACGTAGAGGTTGTGAGCCACCCTCAAAATCCTTTCCTCTTCGGACTCGTTCTCCTTGCGATTCATGGAGTCCTGCGAAGGAGTGAAAGTTCGATGCGATTATAATCGTTTACACTTCAATAAGTTGCTATGTGTGCGTCTCCTGGTACGGGATCTTGCTCTTACCCGCCAAGACTTCGTGCACCAACCCCGACTGGATCGCCACATGCACGGCCCCTTTCGCCTTCGGGAAAGGGTTCAAGGGCTGTGTCGCGACCTGCCAGCAGATCAAGCTAATGTGACATTATATCCATACGAGTGCAATCAGGTATGTGCTCCTCGATCTGGTCGTTGTCAAGGGCGGTTCCGGCCATGCTCGCATCCTGACAGCATTGGGTTCGGCTTGCTTTAAGTTTTCTGGTTACCAGGAAAGTCGGGCTTCGGGTCTCTAGGCTAGCCTTTCACAGTTTAAACCCATTAGAACACATATTGTATAAGCACACATATATATATATATATACATATATATATATATATATATATATATATATATATTATTTATATTAACAATTAGTACTATCACCCTTAATGCACAAACACCTCGTCCTGCAATCGAGGGTTTGGGGTCAGGGTGTTTTATTGAGGATCGGAATCGGCATGCCTCTAGATCTGCGTGTGTGCATAATGTGCCCTGCGACATCTACATGTCCGATCATCCAATTCTGAAATTAAACTCGTTGCATGGCAAAGAAACCTCCTGCTGTGCCATTGGCGCCGATGACTGTCGTGGCTCATCCTGCAAGCGAGTTTTGGTAGTTTGGGGTTTAGGGCTTAGGGTTTTCGGGTTTGGGGTTTAGGGCTTAGGGTTTTCGGGTCGGGGGTTTAGGGCTTAGGGTTTTCGAGTGTGGGTCTTAGGGATTAGGGGCTTTCGGGTTTGTGGGTTTGGTCTTAGGGTTTTCGGGTTTGGGGTTTAGGGCCTAGGGCTTTCGTGTTTGGAGTTTTAAAGAATTCTGGTGTTTAGAGCCTAGGGTTTTCGGGTTTGGGGTTTTAGGGCCAAGGGGCTTGGGGTTTAAGGCTTAGGGAATTGGGGTTTGGGTTCCGGCAATCGAGAGATTATAGTTAGGACTCTAGATCGCCCTCGAACACCAGCATCGGTCCTGGGGCACTCCAGTGGCCGGCTCGGTCGGATTCATCGGCACGTCCTGCAATCGAGATCGGTTAGGCTTTGGGGTTGAGGGTGGGTTCATGACAACGTCGATCGGCTCGTGGGTCGCCACATCAGGGGCCGGGGTCGGCGGTCGTGGCACATCCTGCAATCGAGAGTTTGGCTTTGGGGCTTAGTGCCAGGTGCTTGAAACATCGAGTATGCAATCCTGGGTCATTACGGTCGCCACATCAGGGGCCGGGGTCGGCGGTCGTGGCACATCCTGCAATCGAGATCTTGGCTTTGGGGCTTAGTGCCAGGTGCATGAAACATCGAGTATGCGATCCTTGGTCATTACGGTCGCCACATCAGGGGCCGGGGTCGGCGGTCGTGGCACATCCTGCAATCGAGATCTTGGCTTTGGGGCTTAGTGCCAGGTGCATGAAACATCGAGTATGCGATCCTTGGTCATTACGGTCGCCACATCAGGGGCCGGGGTCGGCGGTCGTGGCACATCCTGCAATCGAGATCTTGGCTTTGGGGCTTAGTGCCAGGTGCATGAAACATCGAGTATGCGATCCTTGGTCATTACGGTCGCCACATCAGGGGCCAGGGTCGGCGGTCGTGGGACATCCTGCAATCGAGAGCTTGGCTTTGGGGTTTAGGGATTCGTGAAACGTCGAATAGAGATCCTGGGTCACAACGGTCGCCACATCAGCAATCTGGGTCGGCGGTCGTGCCACATCCTGCAATCAAGAGCTTGGGCTATGCTTGGGCTTAGGGCCAGGGGGTTTCATAAATTTGTAGGACTAGCGATCCTGGGTCACTGCAGGCGCCACATGAGCAGCCGGTGGCTGCTGTCGTGGCTCATCCTGCACAGCTTGGAGTTTCGGGTTTGGGGTTTAAGGACTATTCAAGGAATCGCCACGAAACACCAGTATATAGTGATCCTGGGTCACTTCAGTGGCCAGCTTCGTTGGATTCGGCTCCTGCAATCGCGGGGGCATTAGGATTTAAGTGTCCGGGATTCAGGATGGTTCCATAAACGTACGAGTAGCGATCCTCGGACACTTGAGTCGCCGCTTCAGCCGCTGGGTTTGTTGGCCCATCCTGCACGAGAGCTTAAGGCTTGGGGCTTGGGGTCTTACTTATTGGGATCACCTGTGCTCGCGATTCTGACATGAGAAGCTTGAGCTTAAGGATTGTGTTGGGCGGGGGTTTCGGGTTAAGGGTTGGTTCGGATTTAGAGTGGTTTAGAGTCAACCTGGAACATGGAGTCTGTCTACTGGGGAACTCAGAGCAGAGGGAGAGAGAGGGAACAACTGGTATATAATAACTATGCAATCCGAATTAAGCGAAGTCCTTCTCATCATCATCGTCCAAATACATCTTGGCAAGAAGCTCATCGAGAGGCTTCAGGGGCATCTCCACATCCATCTGGCTGTCTTCCGGGATCTTGGCTGTGCCGCCCTATAGAGTGCGACCCTTAACAGGAAACCGTTGAGTTTAAGTACAAGCTAGTACATTTTCAGTCGAGCATCATCCATCATGGTATCCTTCCACTCCTGGCTCTGGAGTGACGAAAAGGTGATCGTGGTCATGCTGTCGAGGCTCCGGAGCCCGCCTGAATGTTGATTCGGGTACCACTAGTATTTACCTGCACATGTTGCATAAGACCCATAGCTCGTATAAATGTTGTATCGACCATCAGGCTACCAAGCTGAATTGAAGCCGAAGCAAATTCCCCACGTGTTCGGCCCAAGGATCCGGATTCATCTGCTGCTTGCTCGCGATCGGGAGATGCACTGCTGAGGCTGGATCCGGAAGTTGCCTCCCAGGAGTTTATGGTTTAGGGGTCTAGGGTTTGGGGGTTTGGGGATTTAGGGGTTTAAGGGTTTCTTGGGTTCTAAGTCTATCTATGCATATATAAGCAATTTGATGGAAACCCAGATCAATCTCATACTCTAGATCTCCCATCGAAACAAATAAATGCAGTCTGTAGCTCTATATTGCTCATGGTGTAGCACAATACTAGCCTGGTCGGAGCTTTCGAAAAGCTTTGTCTTCGGGGTGAGGTGTTGGGGCGACAGCTGCTTCAGGCGCTTGTACAGAGGAGACTTGATCGGGGTGCTCTGTGTGCTTGAAGCGGGAGCCGGCTGTGGCCGCTGCCGCTGCTTTGCTACCGTCGCTTCCCCGGTGCCCATGCACACGTCGTCGACTTGTGTGGCTGCTTCCGAATCGCTATTCGGCGGCTGCGGATCTACCTGCATGGGTGCTGCTTGCTCATCGCTCTTCGGCGGCTGTGGATCTACCTGCATGGGTGCTGCTTGCTCATCGCTCTTCGGCGGCTGCGGGTTTGCCTGCTTTGGTGCTGCTTGCTCATCGCTCTTCGGCGGCTGCGGGTTTACCTGCTTTGGTGCTGCTTCCTCGTTGCTCTTCAGCGGCTGTGGGTTTCCCTGCTTTGGTGCTGCTTGCTCGTTGCTCTTCGGCGGCTGTGGGTTTCCCTGCTTTGGTGCTGCTTGCTCGTTGCTCTGAGGCGGCTGTGGGTCTACCTGCTTTGGTACCGGTGTTGCTTGCTCGTTGTTCTGCGGCGGCTGTGGGTTTACCGGCTGTGCTGTTGTCGTCGTCTTCGGCGCCGGCATGGGCCAGGGCTCCGGCTTCACTTGCCACGGGCCGGAACCTGAGCTGGATATAGAATTCGTAATGTCGTTGTTGTAACTAACCCCACTATTTAAATATACATAGGGAAACCCAACACCTTTACTTTTGTAGATGATGAGCAGCTTTTCTGGGCTTTGGGTACCGCTGTCTCCTTCTTCGGCGACTTCAAGGCTCCGGCTGGAGGAGGGGCTACTGTTGGTTTCTTCGCAGGCGGTGCACCCGGCTGTGTCTTCTTCATAATACGAAGGCGGGCTTCGGTAGTAGTGTCACCAGTGCCCCCAGTTCCAGAACCTGCAGGGAAATAACAACCAAAAAGAAACACTAAGCTCTTCCTGGGCTACCCCTAACCCCTAAGCCCTAAACCCGTCGCCTGAGCCCGGGTTCACTCCTGCTGCCTGCAGGGCTTTCTGCACTTCTTTCTCAATGTACTCGCTGGCACTCATCTTCGCTTTGGCAGCAGCCTGCCACAGCCCTAGACCCCTAAACCTTGAACCCCCTAAGCCCTCCACCCCTTAGCTAGTTGAGCAGCCTTCTCAACAGCAGGATTTCCCGCCATGGCCAGCAGCTGCTGTAGCTAGCTAGCTTCGAATTTCTAGGCACTCGGCCGTTCTAACCAAGCAATGCCAGCTGATGTGCTAAGTCTGGGGCAAAGGACCAGGACCTAAAGGGTCTCCTATATAATCCATTAGTCATAACTGTATGCACACATATATGTATATGTATATGTATATGTATATGTATGTATATATATATATATATATATATATACATATATATATATATATATATACATACATATATAGACTAGAGCTAGATCATGTATACATTATATATATATATACATATATATATATACATATATATATATATATATATATGCACAATAAGCCAAAATCGCAGGTTATTAGGCGATACTGGCCGTTAGAAGTGGCCATGGGGACAAAGTTTACCGATACTGGCCG